GGTGGTCACAAAGCCCATCTCGTCCTGGTGCAATGCAAAGGTCAGTGGTTGCAATGCCCGTCTCGTCCTGGAGCACCATGAAGGTCGGCGGTCGCAAAGCCCATCTCATCCTGGCGCACTGTGAAGGTTGGTGGTCACAAAGCCCATCTCGTCCTGGTGCAATGCAAAGGTCAGTGGTTGCAATGCCCGTCTCGTCCTGGAGCACCATGAAGGTCGGCGGTCGCAAAGCCCATCTCATCCTGGTGCAATGCAAAGGTCAGTGGTTGCAATGCCCGTCTCGTCCTGGAGCACCATGAAGGTCGGCGGTCGCAAAGCCCATCTCATCCTGGCGCACTGTGAAGGTTGGTGGCCACAAAGCCCATCTCATCCTGGTGCACCACGGAGGTCAGTGGTCACAAAGCCCATCTCGTCCTGGTGCACCACGGAGGTCAGTGGTCACAAAGCCCGGCTCCTCCGGGCCTGCTGGCTGTCCCCCTACAGAGGGGAGTGGGGCCACCCTAACGATTTGGGGAGAGAGCGGAAGGTGGCCACTCCAAGGGAACCTTCCTTGTCAGGGGGTCCCTGGCCAGGGGTGCACTATCCTGCACCCTCGCAGTGGTCACTGCGCCAGGCCCACCGCACCCCTGATCAGGCCGGCTCACTGCCTTGGCCGAGGCTGCGGGAGGAGCGGAGGAAACGGGGCTCTGCTGCTCCGCGATCGCTCCGCGGTGCAGGCACGGCTGGTGCCGCTTCCACACCTTGATCCCCTGCCGGCTGAGGCGCGGGCACTAACGCGCTCCGCAGAGCGCTGCGCGGACCGGCCCGGGATGAAGGCTGGGGTCATTCCCCATTTCCCCTCCAAACGGGGGCTCTGTGTGGAGCAGACTGGTGGCCTCTGGCCACGTCCACGTCCCCGTTCAGCACGCAGAAATGTCTGGCCAAGAGCGTGATGCGCTGCAGGAGCGTGAAGCACTCAGAGGAAACGAAGACACGTTTGAGCCCGGGGGGAATCCAGCACTTGGGAAATCTCAGCTGCTGTCGAGCCGCTCCGTGTCCCTTGGCAGCTGGAAACGCTGAGAGCAAGGGCTGAAGGACCTCAGCGAGGTTGGACCTCCTCGGCTTCAACAGCCTCGCCAAGGGCCGAACCTCTGAGGGTGGAAACGCCTCGCCGAGGGCCGGACTGCCTGGATGAGGGCGAAACCTCCCTGGGCCAAACCAGCTCGGTGGGGGCCCGACACGGGCAGAGCTGAACTTCTGGGGCACCAAACTGCCTCGCTGAGGACAGACCCGCGACAGGACCACGTCTCTGGAGGGCCAAACTGCCTCACCGAGGAAAAAGCCTTGAGAGGGCTG